AATAAATCTCTTATTAAACAAGCTCGGTCTTTTTTGTACGGACCTCGCTGCGCTCGGTCCGTACTGTCAAGTCCTCGGGCCGATATTCTCCCAGTACGGCTCTCGCGCTTGGTTAATAAGATATATGTCAAAACTGTCTCGAAACTAAATATGGAACACAGCGTTAAATTAGAAAAAAAAAATTTAAAAAGCTAGCCGTCGTAGTTCACGTTCCTCAGNGTTGGCTAAAGGTGCAAACGCCGCCGGTAGCTCTTCGTTTTCGGCTCCGCCCACGATTTCATTTTCAATATTCCCGGGCATATTTGACGATCGTTCTTCTTCAACCCTAGCACGTTTACGGGGCGGACCCGCAGCGTCAACAAACAATTTTTTTTTAATTCTTTTATAAAAACTCCCCTCGAAATCCACTCCTAGGACAGCTAGGAGTATTCCTATAACGAGAAGGATTACACCACCGATAATCAAAATAATTTTCAATCTATACCTCATCAAAAAAACTTGCAACTTACTAATAAACCCAATACTAGCCCATTTTTTTCATAAATATTTAATATAACTCATCATTTAATAATTTAGGGATTTTTTAAAAAAGTTTAGTATTACACCATACTTTTTTTTTTTTTTTATAAAGTTCTTTTTGTAACCAACTTTTTGTTAAGATGGCGCCATTGCACTTCATTAAGAACTTTCTTATACATCAATTATTTTTTATTAAAGGAAAAATAACAACCTCAAAAAAAATTAACAATAAAAACAAAACAGAAAAACACCATCAATATTGTACCTTATAAAAGCCGACTTTCAACTGAGGCACTCAAAGAGTGTAGGACTTGCACCTACATAGCTGATTTTGAAGATCAACAGTTTACTTTAACTTAACCCCTTCAAAAATTTAAATTAAAGTGCAAAAATTAAAAAAAGTATCCCAAGAAAAAAAACTAAAGCATAATTAAATACTAACCCCGATTGTAAACTACTCAACTTTTGAGTTTGAAAAATAAAAAATTGAACAACACCCCTAGGCCCAACAACCTCTAATAAACCTTTATCAATTGTTAAATTAGTAATTAGATGTCCTATTTTATATATTTTTTTTATAAAGAAAAAATTAAAAAAAAAATTTATTTGTCAAGCAGAACCAAAAAAATTATAAAGAGAAAAAACAGAAGATCTGATCACCTGAAGGGGATAGCCAAAAATTTGAGAAGAAAAAAAAAAAAAAAAAAATATCGTTCCAAAAAGTCCAATAAAACAAAATAAAATTGGAAATATCGGTCTTTTTTGTACGGACCTCGCTGCGCTCGGTCCGTACTGTCAAGTCCTCGGGCCGATATTCTCCCAGTACGGCTCTCGCGCTTGGTTAATAAGATATATGTCAAAACTGTCTCGAAACTAAATATGGAACACAGCGTTAAATTAGAAAAAAAAAATTTAAAAAGCTAGCCGTCGTAGTTCACGTTCCTCAGACAATGCAAGGTTTGGTCATTCACGTTGTTGTTTTGTGAAGGACGCAAAGAAATTTACAAGGATTTATAACGCACGTGCACAACCATTGTTCTGCTCATTAAACCTTTTGTTTAGTGACTTTCCCGTAGCTTTTACCGTCGTGGTTTTCTTGAACTCCCTATTCTTATTCAAGCTTGGGCTAAAAACAATGATGTCATTTTTATTCGCCGAATTGACGTCGAACAAGACAAGAATTTGTGAAAGAAAATAGCAGTCTCAACTCAAATTCGGAAGCAAAAGATCAGGCGGAAAATGGGAAGAGACCGAAAAAAGAAAGTTGCGCGACTAACTAACGCTGACAGGTGACTACGAGTGTGGGACATGGGTTGAATTAAATCAGTGGAATACTGCGGAAATTCTATGTCCGGTGGTGATTCATTGATAGTTGAATTCAGATGTAGCGTGATAAGTTAAAAAAAAAACTGTGAAATTCTTCTGAAAGTGGATGTTGATGATGGAATTGCATTTTGCCGTATTAGCACCCCTCATTGTAAGTAGCGAATAAGCAATATCTTTTCTTGAACTCGACTCATTTTGTTTCTCTAACAGTAATTTGTGTTCACTTTGAGCATAGGTTAACGAGTTTTCTTTTTTCCTTCAGGTGGGCGAGTCTGCACTCGTAGGAGTTCCTTCGCCTTTGTCTTACTTCGTCGAGATTCAAGTATCTACGGGCATTTGGCGCAACTCGGGCACTACTGCTAACGTTTTTATTACACTTGAGGGAGAGTTAGGTACCAGTCGACCGTTCCATTTAAAGAATGACACTTGCATCTCTTTCGCAAGAGGGAGTATTATTTCCTTTATTCTTTCAATTCCTGACGGCATTGGCCCCATAAAAACTGTCCGCGTATGGCATGACAACTCAGGCACCAATCCATCCTGGTTCTTGAACCACATCAAGATCTTCGATCTATCTACTGAGAAGCAATGGAACTTTATGTGTTTTGCGTGGCTGGCTATTGATAAAGGTGAAAGATTGATAGACCGTACCCTTCATTGCTCTTCCGCGACCGATAAAGGAATTGACTTTGCAATTTATGTTCCGAATAGAATTGCTGAAGAATTCAGTGACTCACATGTTTGGTTTTCTGTAGCAGCTAGACCACCAAGGTATCGATTTACACGCGTCCAACGTTTATCTTGCTGTCTGGCACTCTTGCTAACCTCGATGCTAGCGAGTGCTATGTTTTACCAGCACCGGGCAGTGGTGGGCGACACTCAAGGATCTCTCAGGATGGGTCGTTTTGATGTAAACCTTAAAGAATTCATCATTGGAGTACAGAGCCTTCTAGTCATTTTTCCTACCTATGTTTTGACCGTAGAACTTTTTGCCCATACTCGATCAGCGGATGAGAATAAACAAATGGGTCTCAAAGCTAACGCAGAAAGGAAAGGTTTTTCTTTTCCACACTGGTTTGTTTTCGTTCCGTGGCTCCTATGTTTTCTCCTCTCAACCTGTGCGTCGGCTTTTGTTATCTTCTACAGTCTACAGTGGGGTGCAGATACAAGTGAGCAGTGGCTGGCTTCGGTTGCAACGTCAATTTTTATAGACATACTTGTAATAGAACCTCTTCAAATCATCGTTGTTGCCTTTATGCTGCCTCGTATTTTCAAAGAAGGAACTGACAAATTTACGTGGATGGCTCGCCCTGCCGACCCAGAGGTTGAACTCGAAGATATTAAAGTTGGTGGGCTAAGCAATGATGAGGCCAACAACGAAGAAGTTGAAATACCAAAGCCTTTGAGCAAGAAACAGTTACGTCGTGCAAGGAAAACTCGGCAAAGAGAGATATATACATATTCAGCTTTTCGGAATATAGGGTCTTACCTGCTTTACTTATTGATTCTTATAATTGTTTGCTACGGTGGCCGTAGCAAGCATGGATACCTGATGACATCATCCATGAAGAATACGTTTGGAGAGCTTAACATGGTACGTGAATTGCTCAGTGGTCGTTATTGGATAATCTTATTATCCTACAGCCGCTACTCTGAAACGAAAGGATATAAATGACGCCTTAGTGAGAGTAGTCGCGTGGGGGTAAAAGTTTTCTTTTTAAGCAGGAAAGTAGTGAGGTAATGCAAGAGGAATGAATAACTGTCAACTCTCGTAGAATAAACACGCTCCCGTTTACCATCAATTTATTTTTTCTGCTATTTTACAATTTTACCACGAGATGCCATTTTGCCGTGTGTCTGTTACTCAGATGGCGTCTGATTGGTGTTCTAAACCAGATAGAGTAAGGAGAATTGTTTCGTATGACTTTAATTTTCCGTGTTTCCGTAATCTGATACATTACAGTCAACAAATAATCTCAATACATTTATTATTTAGTGCAACTCATATTTAATGATTGGTTATTAATATATTTATGTATTTTATATTTCTGTTTTTGTATTTACATTTTTATAACTTTTTTATTTGTCCCCTCGAATCATGTAGATATCAAATCACTTCAACACATGGGACTGGGCACGTGACATTTTGGTACCAGGGCTTTTTGAAGATGGAAAAAACGTCATATTGAATAGTTCCAGTCCTTACATTGGAGATGGCGACGCTGTTCTTGTTGGGATGCCTCGTTTTAGGCAGCTACGAGTCAAAGAAGGTATTTTGCAGAAAGTTTTTCGACGTAGATCAAACAAAAATGCTTCTTGTATCAATTGCGTCGACGAGACCGAATTAATGGTCAGCTTCAAACGTTCCGCTAATAGTCCAGGAAGCAAATCCCAAATATTGAGTTGTGTGAAAAACTTGCTAAAACTAGCCTCTAAAGGCAACTTACGTGAAAGGCTGAACTATCGAGGTAATCGTGGGTGTAGGGACTATTCTCAAACTTACCCCTTCGGTTAAGCCTATTTTAAGGTTTAAGTTTGGTTTGATTAATTGCAAAGTGAATGAAAAGACAAAATTTTTCCTCCACAGAGGTTTTGCAAAACCCACTCAACAAATATTCACTCAGTTTTCTTTGAGGCGAAAAAAATGATTTCCTTTATATTGATGGTTCCATCAATTTATACCGACGTTGATGCACGCTATTTCCATTCTCGCAATGGTTAAACAACTGTATGTTCAATGCTTTTGCTTTTAGGTTCTTGTGATGTCGGCATAGAGGAATTGACCACCCAATTCAATTTATGCGTGGTTTCATATACATCCCTAACGAGGACAAAACAAGCTTCCATGAAACAAGATGGCGTCTATTTTCCTCATCCAAGAATGAGTCACTCATTAGTTTTCCTCGGGTCTGTCCAAGTGCTTGGCATTATTCGTCAGCCCAAGAAACATCAAGTCTTCCATTATGGGGCAGACTTCATCTGTCTAACTTTTATGGTGAAGGAGGCTACCTGGCTGAGTTGGGCTATGACAAAACTACTGCGCTGAACGTCATCTCCGAACTAAACCTGTTTAACTGGACTAACAGGTTTACCAGTGCATTAATTTTGGAGTTCACAGTTTTTAATTCTCAAGTAAACTTGTTCAGCGTGATTTGGATCCTTACTGAGTTTTCACCAAGTGGTGTTGTGGTCTCTAATCACGTGATTTATACCATGCACATATATGACATCGGAGGAGGCTACAGTGCTGTTACCGTTACTTGTCAATTGTTACTGGTGGCTTATATTACATACTTTGTTGTCAAGGAAACGAAAAAGGTCATAACAGGTTTTCGAATGTATTTCTCTCAGTTTCTAAACTGGGTTGAAGTTACACAAACTTTTGCGGTCATTGGCTTTCTTATTTCTCACATTATGAAAGAAACACAGCTCTTTGCTACCACAGCAAAACTCAGAAAAAATACTTTTCAGTTTATCAGTTTTGATAAAGGCGTTCTTCTGCAAGACCTGGAAACGGTATTAATATCGTTGCTGATATTCTTGAACACTTTGAAGTTGCTCTACTTGCTCAAATTGAATTCTCACGTGAGGCATTTATTTTATGTGATGAAAGGATCTGCTCGGGAACTCGCTCACTGCTCGGTTGCATTCGCTGTCTTCATGTTTGGATGTATCCATGTAGGATATCTTCTGTTTGGAAGCGAACTTTACTCCTTTTCTTCGCCTTTCAACATTCTGCAGTCTCTTCTAGTCGAAGGAGTCGTCGGTGGCAGAGTCGACTATTTTAACGATTGTTGCACAATCATTGGCCCCGTGTACGTTACGGCGATAAAAATGGCAGTGAATCTCATATGCAGCAATATCTTCATTTCGGTTCTTGTTTATAACTATGGCCGCATCAGGGAACTCTCCAAAGGGAAATTTGATCTTGGACATTTCATGGTGGTGAAAGTGAAGGAACTACTGGGTTGTGTAGGCGATCGTCCGAGAGCGAGCGAAGGCATCTCTGGGCATGATCCACCGAGCACGGAGATCGAGGAGGATATTCTTCCTGAGGCAGCTGAGATATTGGCGAGTTTGGATCGGATTAATCACCTTTTAAATGTTCAATACGCCGACGAATTTTGTGAAGATCTTGAACTATTTTCTTTGTGGTTTGATCTTTATATGCAAGCCAAGAAATCCAAGGATTTGCAAGAAAATCGGGTCGATGCACAAGACAATCATGAGGCTGTTGTAGAAGAAGATTGGGTGGATGCACAAGATTAAAATATGATCTCCTTCTGCAGGATGGGCTATTGATAAATGACTTGCCTAAAAAGACTGATCATCGAAAACTACTGACTCGATTTAGTTTGACTTTGAACGCTTTCAGAGGTAAAAAGAAAAACTGTACGTATGAAGGAGGCATCATTGTCTCGTTAACTTTGGAGCAATTTTAGTCATTTTCCTCCTAAGACATTCATAAAGGACTGCTTTAAATTGTACGCAGTTATTAGATTTTACTTCGCCATTTCGTTAATGGCTTCTTTAGCAGCTCAAGGCTTTTACTGTAGTTCAATATTTGCTTTTGCGAGAACTTCAATTATAACTTTTTTGGACCTTCACCAATCACACCTACCAGGCCTTAGAAACTTACACGGCTTAGGTGATTAACATTTAGTCAGTTGATTCTTTAATTTACTTATAGCATTCTCAAGTCATTTTGATGTGGTTATTCTTTTCAACGTTCTTCCGAGGGTGGATTATTCCATTCACCAAATAAACTGCAACTAGTGCATAATGTAGTAGGTTTTGTACATTTATCCACCGGACAGTGATTAATCCGTATGATGCACGATCCTCGCAGTAGAGAGCGCTATTTATGCAATAGCGAAAATCAGACCTAAAAAAAATCAGGCCTGTACGGGATTCGAACCGCTGACCTCTGCGATACTAGTGCAGCGCTGCACTAGTATCGTGGTCTCCGTGGTGTACTTTGCGAAACTATAATTTGCCTTTTACTCGTTGTTTGTGATTCTATCGAAAATGAGATGGATTCTCTTTGGAAACTCGTGAACAGAACCAAGACAACCTAATGTGTGTGCGGGTGGAGTATCATCTCCCTTCAAACTTACAGAACCCCTAATTTTAGACTATAACGAGCGGTTTGGTAATCACAATAATAATTAGTCTCTACAGCAGCTGCGCAATCAATCTGTTTTGACATATATTATCAACGAATCACTATCTTAGACTGTATCAGACTCTCCATTTCGGCGAAGTCTGTCCCTCAAGAAATTTAGCGAGAACAAAAAAAATTATGTTAGCGCGCAGCGCCGCCGCACAGAACTACGAGAGTGGAATGTACGAGGGCTGACATCAACGATTTCTTTTCTTTTTTTTAACTCGTACGAAAAAGATGACCAGTTTGTAAACTAAAAGTCTATCTCAACGAAATGGTAAATCACGATTCCCAGTTTCATCCGCCAGCATTCCACAGTATTTACGACCCTTCAAGGGGTGGAATTAAAAAAGGGCTGACCTAACGTACGAAGGGGACCTCGGGGAAGATCAGGGACACATATGAGCTAAAGCTTAGAATAAAAATTGTCTGAATTGATGGTGAAACATCCTTTGTTGAAATTATTTTCAACGACTGTCAACCAGGCAAATGTTGTTTTGAGGTTAAGAACTAAAGCGATCATGGCTCAAAAGAATGCCTTTTAGGGAGCTGAAAATGTCAGCGAGAACGTACAGGAAATAAAGCATGTACTGATATTCTGTGGTAATAATTAGTAAGATCAAAAACGGAATTTTTGCTAAATATACGAAACTATTACGTGTGTGAGTTATATCAAGAGCTTGAAGCCGTTCCTATGCACTGATAATAAGTGTGCAGGCTCTTTTCATGTTACCCGAAGAAGGGAGGTTGAAAAATTTCAGCCTGAACATAGTATATTTCTAATGGTGGTTTAATGAGCACTTGATAAAAATCCAGGCGGCGGGGCATAAAAAAATTTCTAGCCTTGCCACACATACAAAACTTGAATCGTTCCTTCATGAGCTTAAAATAGAGCTCGAATATCGGGAATTTTTTTTCCTGCGGTCCAGACCTTGTTGATCTGCTCAGCTTCTAGCCTAGGACCTGACCGAAATGATTGAATCTACATTTATCAACCAAAAAGATAACCCCCAACAGTTTAGTTTTCAAAGTTACAAAAGCACCAGAGTTAACCCTCCACTCCCCACTCTCTCGCCCCAGTACTAAAGTGTGATGATTTGGGATTTTTTTAAGGAGACATAAAAATCCTAAAAAATTCTTTTTCTGCTGTGGAAATTCTGGAGACTCATTCTTCACTTGAACGAATGCTGCTTCAAGAGACTAAATGCGCAGTCATGTTTCCCACAATATCTTTATTTGGCTCAGGCTTCACAACGCGGATTCCGAATGATTCATCATTTTAAAAGTCAAGTAAATTCAAATGCATCAGATAACTTGCTGCTTCACACCGTTCGGTTATCAAACCATATCACATTCTTGTCATGTGTTTATTCAAGGCGCTCGAGTCTTATTTTTCCTCGCTTTTGCAACTTCATCTGATTGGGTACCAGCCCTCCTCTCCTCAGACACATTCCTTCCACGCGCAGGAGCATCTACCCAGAGGTTCAGCAATTCAATGTCCTCAATGTCTTCAATAAACTCGTCAATGTAGAGGTCATTGAATTTTAGACTCATCATGGTGATGCACCTGTTTAACTCCTTCCAAGAAGCATTCTGTGCCTTGCATTTGGTTTTTTTGCGACCACCGATGTCGTCGTTGTTGTTATCCAGTTTTATAAAATCGTTTTCGCTCTCCCAGTGCACACATTTCTTCCTGTTGTTTCCAAGTCCGTTGCGAGGTAGCTTCTCGTCCCCTATGCAATGCAATGTCTCCTGGATTTTCTTTATCATCAATTTCCCGAGGCTAAATCTTCCTTTGGAGCACTGTATGGTGGTTTTATAATCGTGAATAAGAATGGCGATAAAAATGTTAAGCCACATCACTTGCAGACACATATTGAAAACTATGAAGAAAAGAGGACCAATGAAGTCATGACAATCTTGGAGATATTCAGCCCCGCCGCTCAAACTCCCTGGGCGAGAAGAGATTGGAAACCACTTGTGGGTGAGGAATACTCTTCCAGCTCTCTTCCGAATTGGATGAATCCGAAATGAGTGAAAGCGAACATGAAGACGTAAAATCCTATTGAACAGTTCACGAGTCCCAGAAAAGATGCCTTCATTACATCAGACAAACGTTTGACGTGACTATTAAATCTGAACAAATACAGCAACTTTAAGGTGTTGAAAAACATTAATAAAGCCAAGAATGCTGTCTCCATAGCATCGAGTAGTACTGCCTTGTCAAAGCTTATATATTGGAAGACATTTTCACGAGGTTTGGACGAGTTTACAGAGAGTAGCACCTCTTTGGAAATATGAGTAACTGCAAAGGAAATGCCTGTCAAGATCTGAGCAAGTTCAATCCAGTTCAAAAATCGGCGGAAATAGTGTTTTGGTTGTTGAATGATCTCTTTGGTTTCCTTAACGACAAAGTAAACAATAAAGAAAATAAACAAGATCTGACAAACAAGATGAGCGACACTATAGCCAGCTCCAATGTTGTACACGTGAAGGGGTTGAATCAGGTGACCAGAAGCCACATAACCAGATGGTGAGAACTCCACTGTGATCCAAATTGCACTAAAAAGACTGACACGAGAGTTGAAAACTGCAAATTCGATTAAAACAGCACTAGTGTACTTGTCAAACCAGTTGAACCTGTTCAGATCGGAGATGACTTTCGTGGAAGAGTTCCTGTCGTAGCCCAGTTCTGCTAGGTAACAACCCTGACTGTAGATAGGATAAAGTTTTCCCCAAAAGGGAAGGCTTCCGGTTTGGTCTGCTGTAGAATAACGCCACGGCTTGGGGCAAACCTTGTTCAACGTTTCAACAGAGGTATTATATGACGGAAAAAGTGGGAGCCATCCTGGCTGATGTAACTCTGTTTTATCTTCAGCATCTAGTGAATATGACCCAATGCAAGAGTTGAATATAGTTTTCGCTTCCTTCGCGACTTGACACGAGTCTAAAAAGGAGTAAAAGTCAAAAATTAAACCTTAGACAGTGAACAGCTTTTTTAACTTAAAAAACTAAGGTTGATATAGTTTAATAGTAAACTGTTAAAAAAAGAAAACACTGAAGCAATACTTCGTTTTGACAGACTGTTTTTAGCGCGCAGAGGCATTTTTATCTGCACCAGAAAAATTGGTTTGATCGTACAAATTTTTCAACTTAGCATTTCATACTTAACTTTCTCTTTGCCATTAGAAGAAATTGAAGTGATCAGTCTGACTGATCACTGATACTAACAAAATTAAATCTTTGTTCATATTTACTGCCGGTCATACCTATTGAAAAAAATATAAATATATGTTCACACCTTTCTTCACCCTAAGCTGTCTGAGGCGGGGCATTCCAACAAGGACTGCATCACCGTCTCCAGTGAACATGGTAGAATTTGAAAATGCCAAGTCCTTTCCATCCTCATAAATTCCTGGTAGTAGAACGTTCTGTAACCACTGCCACATGTCCTCGTGAGTCGAGATCTAACAGAGCAATGCTGTGTAAAAGAAACTCAATGTAGAACACTCGAGATTCGAGGGAAATAAATCAATTCAATGAAAAGTTATTATAAACCGCATCGCTCAGAATGCTTTTGTCTTTCGCGACATGTACTTACAGCGCCCAGTTTATCATCTAGCAGAACAACAATTTGTACGTCTAGAACTAGTCAGCTGCGATTGGTCGTTAGATTTAGCTTTGGAAATACTTCAGTAAATAGACGACTGACAAACGACCGTTGGTCAAAACGTTATCTGAAGTATCGAAATAGTTGCGGCGGCAGGGGACTGTTTGGAGTACCGCCGATATAATTAAAAATACCCGGATATAATTAAAAAATACCCGCATATGTCACGGCAATCTGCGCGATACTCACTTCCTTCCTTATGGTCGCCCAAGGATACTATAAGCTTTAAGAGATTCAATAATCAACATATTTCACGTTTAATTAAAGATGTAAGCATGCTTGCTAGTAGTACAATATATGGATGAAAGGAGCCGTAAACATACCTCATTCACCTCTCCGAATGTTTGCTCCAGCGATAATTTCAAAGAATAACTGTACTGACTCCGGCCTCCATAACACGTGATCATCAGTATCCAAAGGTATAGAAAATAACAGAATATATTCTGTATAGCCTTGTACATACGCATTTCTCGCATCCGAAAGATCCTCGCACGGCGTAATTCTTTTTTGCTCAGGGGCTTCGGTAAGGTAATAAATTCTTCGTTATTATCTTCCTTTTGGCCGTCAGCGAAGGTAACTTCATCAACATGTGCGACTGTCTTTGGTGTTTGAGCAAGTTCATCAACATCCGAGTGACAAAAGTACGACAAAAATAAAGCAACGACGCCGACCTTTACCGGCTCAGAAACAAATATTTCCACAAGCAAAGACATAAAAATGGAGATGAGCCATTCCTCGCTTGTTTCTTTACCCCATTGTAAACTATAAAAGATAATAAATATTGCAGATGCAGCTGAAGAGATGAAACACAGGAACCAGGCGAGGTAAACAAAGCAATAAGGTAGGGTCATGCGAAGACCTTTACGGTATCGAGATTTCTCAGTGACCTTGTGGATGCT